GTTGCCCTTCAGATCTCTTTTAAATCTTTCTCCTCTCACTTTAAAAATATGCCCCCTTGTTTTGAACTCCCCCACCTAGGGAAAAGACCTTGGACTGGTGAACTATTCGGAAACTCCCAAAAAATGGCCTGTCTTAGAAATGATCATGTAGCCATGCCATAGCTTTCAGGGAAGGGAAGAAACAGCTATCATCCTCTAAGGTGTTTGCACACTGTGATATCAGTCGAGATCCGGTTTTGACATGCAATCTGTCCCCGTACGGCATTGAGTAGCATTAGCTTATAGGTGGCTCAGTAGAGGAATACCCAATAGCATACGCATCCAGGAGTTTGACTAATGTAGAGTGTAGGAACGCCCAGATAGAGAAGGAAGGATTGGCAGTCATATTTGGAGTCAGGAAGTTCCACCAATACCTGTACGGACATACATTTGTAATAATAATGGACCACAAACCCCTATTAGGTCTACTTAAGCAGGACAAAGCAGGACTGCTCAGAGCTTCAGGCCGAATTCAGCAGTGGGCTCTAATACTAAGTGCATATAATTACAAGTTGGAACACTGTCCGGGAGGCCAAGTAGCGAATGCAGATGCATTGAGCCACCTCCCACTGGAAGGATCCATACTGGTTCTAAATTTTCTGGACACACTTTCAGTCACAGCTGACATTATTGATTTTGATTTTTGATTTTATTGTCACGTGTACCAAAATACAGTGAAAAGCTTTGTTTATGAGCGGTATAGGCAGATCGCAGCAAGCAAAGGATGTATAGATCAAAAAGACTTAGAGGCATACAGGTTACATTGCAGGTTATATTATTTGAGGCTAGAGTCCATTTAACAGTCTGATAACGGCCAGAAAGAAGCTGTTCCTGAACTTGCTTGTGTGTTCAGGCTTCTGTATCATCTGCCTGATGGAAGAGGTCGTAGGAGATCATTACCAGGGTGCGATGGGTCTTTGATGATGTTGGCCGCCTTTCCGCGGCAGCGAGCCGTGTAAGTAGAGTCCATGGATGGAAGGTTGGCTTCCGTGATGGTCTGGGCCGTGCACACCACCTTCTGTAGTTTCTTACAGTCCTGGGCAGAGCAGTTGCCATACCAGGCCATTGTGCACCCAGACAGTACGCTTTCGGTGGTGCATCTGTAGACGTTAGTGAGGGAGCTTATGGACATGTCAAATTTCCTGAGCCACCTGAGGAAGAAGGCACATTGTTGTGCCTTTTTGGGAAGCCCAGGACACGTCACCTGTTATCGTCATTCCGAGGAATTTGAAGCTGTTCACTCTCTCAACCTCAGTTCTGTTGATGTAGATGGGGGTGTGTTCTCCTCCTTTCTTTCTGAAGTCGATGATCAGTTCTTTAGGTTTGTCAATGTTGAGAGACAGATTATTTTCATTATTTCAATATCAGACTTTGGATGTAGAAAGATCTAATCTTAGCAAAACTGAAACAGTGGTGATGGGGGAAACCAAAGAGCTGTCACAATCAGTATTGAAACCTTTTTGGACCCAGAGAGACCAGATCACAGCAGAGTACGGCATATTATTTTGGGAAGCAAGCGTGATTGTCCCAAGCAAACATTGCTGCCAGATACTGGCTGAACTCCACCAGGGTCATCCAGGCTTTTCCAATGGAGATGTTGGCAAGAAGCTTTGTCTGGTGGCCAGAATCAGATGCAGACTTAGCCGTGTTGGTGTGTTGGTGGGGCAATGGCCAGAGTGCCAACAAAGACAGAAATTACCGTCAGCAGCTCCCGCACTTTCATGGGAATGGCTAGGTAAACCTTGGACTCGATTACACGCCAACTACGCATGGGCTCAAATGTTCTTAGTCACAGTGGGGGTCCACTCAAAATGATTGGATATGCATAAAATTCATTTGTCAAACATGGGGACGACAATAGAAAAATTCTGCGCATCCTCAGAAATACACAGACTTCGTGTTGGTCACGGATAACGGGCCATCATTTACCTGCAGGGAATTTGAATATTTCCTAAAGTTGAATGGCATTCGACAATAAAGGACAGCTCCATGCAGTCCATCATCCAACGGTCTGGCAGAAAGAGCAGTCCAAACTTTGAAGGCACACTTAAAGAAACAGCCTACAGCTTCACTGGATAACAGACTGTCCCAGTTCCTATTTGATTGTAGGACCACCAGTCATGCAACTACAGGGATAGCTCCAGTAGAGTTGCTAATGAAGAGAAGACTCCACACCAGGTTAAATCTGATCTTCCTGGTCCTAACAGGGAGGGTGAAACGGCAACAGGAATGCCAATGCCAGCCACAAGACTGCTAAGCAAGAGACAGTGTGCTTCATGGGATGAAGTTTAGTGTAGGAACCATGGGGAATGGCCCTGCATTGGTAAGAGGCATGGTCGGTACGAGATCAGGTCCAGCGACATATAAAATTTGAGTAGAAGCAACAATCCTGAACAAGCACGTTGACCGTTTGAAAGCTACAGTGTGGAAGCAAAACATGCTCGGCTCCTTAGAACAGTTAGAAAGGGTGGCAGAACCGGTGGATTTTCCCTCTCTGTCAAGCATTGAAGAGACCTCAGAATCTAAGATGGACACAGTGGATGTCTCCTGCTCAACACGTTTGCCGCCTGCAGAAGAGAATGAATTCCATCCGAGATGCAAGAGGCAAGCTGTGCCTTACACGCTGCCTGTGTTCGAGGCAGAGTTGGAGCAACTCTACCTAGTGCTAAAACACCCCAGGTCGAGCAGAAGGAAAAGAACCAGCCGATGTCCTTGGACTCAGAGTGGGAGAGATATAGTGAATATAGTGAGTTATTTCAGTTGAGCATAACGGATTAGAAAATAATGTATAATATGTTGTTAAGTGGACGTTGATGTAATGGCTGAATTCATTGGTGACTAAACAATATTTATAAGTTGAAAATTTTTTGAACCAAGGCCTCAACCTCCCATTTCATAAGAAATTTATTTATAAGTTCTAAACTACTAATGTAAACTATTTTAGCAAGTTACTCACATCATTAAGATTTTGAATACTGAAACTGGACTAACCCAGTTTTGACTAATGCAAAAGCAAAATACTATAAATACTGGAAATCTGAAATGAAAATAGAACAGGTCAGAGAACCAGAATCATTGACTCTGTTTTTCTCTCCAAATTGCTGCCTGAGCAGCTGAGTGTTTACACCATTTTGAATTGTTATTTTATGACCAATGCTTGAATTATAGTTGAGTTTCCTGCATAGGAATTTGAGATTGTTACAGATTCTCTTATAGTATGGAATACATGAGTACACTCATGGTTACAACAGGTTGAGGTTGATGAAATCATGTGGGATTTTGGGATGATTAACCAAACTATCTTTTCTTACCATTAGAAATGTTTTTCCTTTCATAAAAATGTCTGTTTATGGTTGAAGTATTCTAGCAGACGATTATGGGTAAATCAGGTAATTGTGTAAACCCAGTGAATGGCTGCACATGAAGCAGGAATGGCTTCCTGGCTACTTTGCTAATTTCCAATAGATGTAAGCTTGAGCTCATTCACATCTCTATTGCATCTATCCTAACACGTGGCAAGTCCCCTTTGTTAAGTGCTCATTCGTCCTACATGGACTCTGGACTCATCAATGCCTTGGAGTCATAGAGGACGACAACACAGAAAAAGACGTTTTGGTCCATTGTGTCCACACCTATCAAAAAAATCCACCTAACTGTTCTAATCCCAGTTTCCAGCACTTGGTCCTTAGCCCTATATTCCTTTCATTGCATAACGACCTGATGCAGCAACTGATCTGCTCAGGAATGTAAGAAACTACAGATAGTTGTGTGCACAGCCCAGACCATCACGGAAGGTAAACTCCCATCCATGGACTTCATTTACACCTCATTGGTGCAGAAAGATGCCAACATCTTCAAAAACCTCTCCCACCCGGTAATGCTCTCTTCCAACCTCTTCCATCAGGCAGAAAATACAGAAGCTTGAACACGTGCACTAACAGGTTCAAGAACAGCTTCTTCCATGCTGTTATTAGACTGCTGAATGGACCTCTCTAACTTCAAATAATGTTGATCTTGCTTTCCACACCTCCTGTGCAGCCACAACCTTGTATGCCCTGCTCTGTCTAAGCATCCTATGATCTGTATGACCTTGTTTGCTATGATATGTCTGTACTGCTTGCAAAACAGAACTTTTAACTGCACTTAGGTACATGTGACTACAATAAATCATGTCAAATCAAAGTGCACATCACTATATTTCTTAAATGTTATGAGGGCTTCTGCCTTTACCACTCTTACAGGCAGTGAGTTCCAGATTCCCATTACCTTCTGTGTGAAAAACTTTTTCCTTACATCTCCTCTAAACCTTCTGCCCCTTACCTTAAATCTACGCTCTCGGCCATTAATCCCTCCATCAAGAGAAAATGTTTCTTCCTGTCTACCCTATCTACGCCCCTCATAATTTTATACAATTCAATCATGTTCCCTCTCAATCTCTTCTGCTATAAGGAAAACCACCACAATCTACCAATCTCTCTTCATAGATGACTTGATTTTAAAATTCTCATCCTTCTATTCAGATCATTCCAAGCTTCACCCATGCTTACCTCTGTTAACTCTTGCAGCAACTACAGCCCTTAGAGACCTCGTGATTGCTTGCACATCTCTGATTTTAGTTGCTCCACTATTGGTGGCATGCTTCAGCCATCTTGGCTATAAGCTCTGAAATCCCTTTCCTAAACCTCGCCACTTCAATCACCTTTGAAATGTTCAATGAACATTTAAGGTTTCAACTAAAATTTTGACCATTTACCTTCGTATCTCCTGACATGGGTTAGATTCTGTTTGATAAAATACCCGTGAAATGCTTTCCCACACGATAAATGCAGGTTGTTGGAATCCACAGTAAGATGTTGAAACCCATCTCCAACTCTCACTCCCTTTCTACATTATCCTCAATCTGAAAACATTGTGCAGTAATCTTAACTTAGCATTTCTTTTTGTTTCCTCTTAAAACATAGGCCGTATACTGGATCTCAAGACTGGGACAGTTAAAAAAGAAGGGCAGCAGTCTTCAATGAGAATGTGCATGGGTTCCAGACGTTCCTTTATTTGTAGAATGAGGTAAGGACACAGGCTAATAACATGAACTGAGCTTTTCCTATTAGCTGTTTACATAATTAAATGATTAACCTTGTTGCCATTGCACCTCTTCTGTTTAGGAGCTCAGTTGTGGTATTTGATTTATTGTGCATGGATTCTAAGTGAAATGATACTTTCTGAATGATATATTAGTGTTTATTTCTGTTTATATGCATGTGTAATCGCACATAATGTAGATTTGCTTGATTGAAATAGCTTTGATCTTTGAAAATTTCTGAGAAAAGCTTAAACAAATAACATTCATACAAATAGGGATTCAAATTGGGTCAAAATATCTCATTCTCTCACTTACTCAGATTCTTTATTCCCTGATTTTTAAAATTGGTTTTGAGTGCTACATTTTCAAGTAAATTTTTGTAATAGCTTTTGTTTAGTTGTAACAGATTCTGGCTATCTAGTGATTTTCAATTCTAGGGACATAGCACATGGGAGTAAGAGTAAGACTTTTGAGCCTGTTCTGTGATCAATAAACTCAAGGCTGATCCAGTTGTGATCTAAAATCCATTTAGCTGTCTGCTCTCCATGACCTTTGACTCCCATCTGTGATCCAGCCTCCACTGCTTTCTGGGCAGGAGAATACAATGAACAATAATCCACCTGTGGAAAATGTTTATACTGACTTGGCCTTAAGACTGGGGCTGCTTATTTTAAAACTGTGTCCCCTAATTCTAACCTCCCCAACAAGAGGAAACATCCTCCTAGTATCCAGCCTTGGAAGTCCCCTCAGGGTGTTGTTTGTTTCAGCAAGATCACCCCATTTCTTTGAAACTCCTAACAACCTGTTCACCCTGGCTTCAGAAAATAGTCCTTCATCCCAGAAATGAACCATTAGGAATGGGAAATAAGGAGCTCACATCCCATTAATGAGGTGAAAGGAAAATGGTGTACAACTTAAATAGAGAAGGATTGCAGAACTCAGTGGTACAAAATAATTTGTGTGTTCTGGCACATGAATCACATGTTAATAAAGTTAAAAATTTAACCTTCTCTAAACTGCTTCTAATGCAATTATATCCTTTCTCAATCAGTCCAAAACTGTACATACTACTCCAGATGGAATTTCACTAAGACCATCTTCAACTGTAGTAAATATCTGTACTTTAATATTCCATTCCTTTCGCAGTAAACACTTGTATTCCATGCATAAGAGAGCTCAGTTCGAGAGGTGAAAGTCAGTACCCTTGACATCAAGACTGCACTTGACTGAACGAGACATCAAGAAGTCCTGTCAAAACTGGAGTCAGTGGCAGTCAGGGGACAGAATCTCTGCTGGCTGGAGTCACATGTGGTATGCAGAAAAATGGTTGTGATTTTTGGAGGTCAGTCATTTCAGCTCCAGGGATTCTCTACAGAGTCCTCAGGATGGTGTCCCAGGGCCAACCATTCTGAGATACTTCATCGATGACCTTCCTTCCATCACGAGGTCAAAAGTGGGGATGTGCAATGTTCAGTACCGTTCGCAACTCCTCAGGTACATAACAGGCTAAGGCTGATAAGTGGCAAGCAATATTCATACTATACAAAGAAGAGACAATGACCATCTCCAGTTAGAGACAATTGAGCCACCGGACCTTGACAATCAACGAAATAATCATCACTGAATCCCCCATTATCAATGTTACATTTGGTGCCTCGCTGTCAAGGGCAGTGATTTCACCTGTGGAATTCAGCTGTTTTGACATGTTTGCAACAAGGCTGCAATTAGTTCAGGAGCAGAGTGACCCTGGTGAAACTCAAACTGAGCATCAGCGAGCAACTTATGCATTTGTAAGTGCCACTTGGTACCATCATCAACAAGTTAACATTGACCAAAAACTGAACTGGGCTAGCCATATAAACAAGAGCAGGTCAGAGGCTAGGAGTCCTGCAGTGACTAACTCACCACATGACTCCCCAAAGTTTGTCCACTATCTACAAGGCACAAATCAGAAGTTTGATGGAATATTCCCCACTTGCCTGGATGGGTGCAGCTCCAGCAACATTTAGGAAGCTTGACAATATCCAGGCCAAAGTAGCAGTTTGATTGGCACCACATGCACAAACGTCCACTCTCTCCACTACCAGTGCTCTGTAGCAGCACTGTGTAGTGCAAAAATTTACCAGAGGTCCTTAGAACATCTAGAAGGACAAGGGCAGTTCCCCTCCAAGCCATTATCCTGACTTGGAAATATATCATCGTTCCTTCACTATTACTGGGTCAAAATCATGGAAGTTCTCCTGACAAATGGCATTGTGCGTCTACAGCACATGGGCTGCGACAGTTCAAGAAGGTAACTCACCACCACTTTCTCAAGAACAACTGGGGACAGGCAATAAATGCTGGTACAGCCAGCAACACCCAAGCCCCATGAGTAAATTAAACAAAAAATTATCTTCGTAATCACTTATTGCTCCTACATACAAACTCTGTGATTCACGTACCAGAACACCCAATTTCTCTCCTACTGTGTTCTGTAATCTCCCTCTATTTAAATAGCATATTGTTTTTCTATTTCTGTTTATTCATCACATGGGTGTTACAAGCTAGACTAGCATTACACATTGCCTAATTGCCTTGGCAAAGATGGAGGAGATAACAAGGTATAGAGCTGGATGAACACAGCATCAGAGGGGCAGGAAAGCTGACGTTTTCGGTCTGGAACCTTCGCACTTGGGGCAAATGTGATCAAAGTTTATGGAGAGAAAGCAAGATTAGGCTGTTGGACGATCAGCCATGATCATGAAGAATAGTGGAGCAGGCTCGAAGGATTGTATGGCCTCCTCCTGCTCCTGTATTCTATGCTTCCATATTTCTATGTTTGGACTTGTTGGGCCGAAAAGCTTGTTTCCACCTGTCGTGATTCTGTTCTATTCTATTCATCCCAGCTGATGCTACTACTGGACAATTTAGGTCCTGGAATGAAACCTAGCTTGATCAATCATGTTTAATTTATTTTTAGTTAGTTAACATGATAGTTAGTCACTGAAACATAGTTACACAGGACTGCAAACTGTTCTTTAATAACAAAACACAAGTTTATTACATAAAATAAGAAAAGAAAGAAAATAAATGACCAATATTCCCCCTAAGTTGTTGCAGCTGCCAGTGTGTGCAGCATTCTAAGGTTCCACGCACATTGGTTGGCGTTTACTTCCAGTTCTGGAAATTGCTGTTGCCCACGCACCTCAGAGGCCCACAAATCTGCAAAGAAAATTAGAGGAATGCTGCAAGTGACTTAGATAATGGAAGTCAGTTCAAAAAGATCTTAATACTAAAAGCAAAACAAAATTGGACCCTGTTTCCAAATAGTACCCCCCACAGAGTCTTATGCACAAAGAAATTATACTCTTGTTATGGTTCTTCACATTTTGACTTAACTGATTCCTTCTGTAGACAGCGGATGCAATTGTATAACAAGGTGTAGAGCTGGATGAACACAGCAGGCCAGGCAGCATCGGAGGAGCAGGAAAGCTGATGTTTCGGGTTTGGACCCTTCTTCAGAAATGGGGGCGGGAAAGGGGGCTCTGAAATAAATAGAGAGAGGGAGAGGCGATGATGGAGGTGGATAGAGGAGCAGATAGGTGGAGAGAAGACGACAGGTCAACCCTCACAAAACTGACCAAAATCCCTCTGCCTAATTTTGAAATTCAGCTTCCAAAACTTATGATAAAATATGTTGTATACCTTTCATCCTACTACCCTAGTATTCTCAAATCCCCTGATCCATATTATTTCTGACTTGTATGTTCTTGTGCCTGGACTCAAATTTGAAATTGCTCCACTCCTCAGGCTCTCCTTATCCATTCGTTCAAGTATAATACATTGACTTCATAAAGCCCCACTTTTCCTGGCTGGAAAGCTATTGTTACATTGATAGATTCAAGGTCATAGGCTTCACCAGAGGTTGTGGCAGGCTGAGTTTTCCACAATTGTGTTTAAAATTAGCCGTCTTTGAATGGTAGAACATCCTTCAGCATTGCATGATTCCCTATCCACTTCTTCTGTTATCCAGTAATCTGAAGTGCATATTGTGGTAACAGTGGCTTTCACCAATTGGCTTGGTTGATGCAGGTTCAACATTGTATCTATTTATTTCTGACTAGGTCTTGCCAGGTATAATTAATCAAAAGCTGCAGAAATCTTTATTCCCTTGGAATTGCCTTTTTGAAGCATTTTCAAATATAAGGAGTTGTATCAAAACAAACCTATCTACCTGGCAAAGGGGCATTAACTTGCTTTGGCCTTGTGCTGATGGTGAGGAGTTATCTTGAGTCAAAGCATTGATGTTGACCAGGAGTTTGGGGAATCCTAGAAAATGGAAGAATTGCCTAGATTTGATCTGCCGTGTTCTCAGAAAGTGATAAAACTTTGTTCTGGAGAATAAACATCAATACCTGCTTGATACTTTTGCATTGTTGATGGTTAATATTGCTGATATTTCATATGACTAGATATAATATAAAATAGAACTGTGATCAAGGACATAGAAGAGAGGATGCTGTTTAACCCACACTTGTGAGGCTATGCAATGCGCAGCAAGAGCCAGTGATTTTGAAGAATGTCATCATGTGTGTGAGCAGACTACCACATCTTCAGCCTAATCTTTCTGTCAGTCTTCTGTTATATTTCGAAAAAGTGTGAACTGAATTCTATTCACAGTTTGATTGCTTTGAATGCAGCAATAAACACTTATATTTCACTTTGAAGTAACTATTTCCTTAAAGATTGGAGCATGACAGGCATTTATTGCTTCTGTTATGTGAGCCAGAGAAGTGCTGTGTGTATCAGCTGTAATAGCATTACAATGGTACGTGATAATCTGCAATCCAGTATCAATGACTGTGAACATCGGGCACAAAAGCACAGACGAAATGTAAATAAAATTTATGAAGGCATAGCTAAACTGGATAGAAATATATTGCCCGCATTGAGTAAGGGATGCAGATTAATCAGGTTACAAGTTGTAAGATCTGTGCAGAAAATGGAGATACCTATGCAAATGGGGTTGTAAGATGTTTTTGACAGAATGGCATGTATTCTAAAGTGAGTGTCCAGCTCACCATGTTCCTATGCACCCTGACCTCACCCCCATTATATGGGGAGGTGAGTAGGCTTTGAAATGGGTAGTCTCCACACCATATGTAAATCACCAATTAAGGACTAAATGATGTTGAGGTTGGTTGGCTCGCCGAGCTGGTTTGTTGTTCCGCAGACGTTTCGTTACCATACTGGGTAACATCCTCAGTGCAGCCTCTGATGAAGCGTCGGTGTGTTTTCCTGCCTGGTTTTTAAACTCTGGAGTCCGTTCAGCTGGATTGCCTCACTTCCGGTTTTCCTTCGTAGTGGAGTGTATATGGGCTTGAATTCTATATGTTTATTAATGGCATGTTTCGTGGAGTGCCAGGCTTCTAGAAATTCCTGTGCCTGTCTCTGCTTAGCTTGTCCCAGAATTTTGGTGTTGTCCCAGTCGAATTGGGACCAAAATCCTGGGGGTGGCACGGTGGCACAGTGGTTAGACTGCTGCCTCACAGCGCCAGGGACCCGAGTTTGATTCCAGCCTTGGGCGACTGTCTGTGTGGAGTTTGCACATTCTCCCTGTGTCTGTGTGGGTTTCCTCCGGGTGCTCCAGTTTCCTCCCACAGTCCAAAGATGTGCAGGTTAGCTGGATTGGCCATGCTAAATTGCCCGTAGTGTTCAGGGAGGTGTAGATTAGGTGGGTTATGGGTGGTTGGGTCTGGGTGGGATGCTCTGAGGTTCGGTGTGGACTCGTTGGGCCGAAGGGCCTGTTTCCACAGTGTAGGGATACTATGATTCTATGATGATATACACTCCACTATGAAGGAAAACCGGAAGTGAGGCATTCCATCTCAATGGACTCCAGAGTCTAAAAACCAGGCAGGAAAACACACCGACACTTCATCAGAGGTTGCACTGAGAATGTTACCCAGCATGGTAACAAAACGTCTGCGGAACAACAAACCAGCTCGGCAAGCCAACCAACCTCAACACCCACAACCTAAGCTACAAATCTACTCCAAAACCTTAAGGGACTAAGTGAGTTTGTTAAAAGCTGATTTGACCCTGATAATATGGTTCCCAAGTCACAATACTGGAGGTGTGTGCAGCTGGGTGGGAGCAGGCAGGCTGTTTTATTTGTAGAGTTTATGAAAAGGTTGGAAGAAAGGGTGGAGCATGATCTTCAGGGGTAAACTATGCACATCAGGGACACTTATCTGAAGATACTATCCTCCTTCTTTGCCTACTCTGCAAAACCTTCTCCCAACTGCTCTTGACCCACTTCCTTAACCTTTCCAAATCCACCCTACCCAATTCTCCTGATTTACTTTAAGCTAGGATCCATGTTGTTTTCTTGATGGGTGTGTCTGCAGTACTGGCAGCACCACTGCTGAACTTGCAGCACTGCTGGTGCTGCTGCAATATGATTGAACATAATCTATATTCAAATACAACAATTTCCAGGCTTGGGCTAACAAGTGGCAAATAACATTCACGCCACACAAATGCCAGGCAATAACTTTCTCCCATTAGAGACAATCTAGTCATCAGCCCTTGTCATTCAATTATGTTACCATCACTGAATACCCCATTGTCAGCATTCTTGAGGTTACCATTCACCAGAAACTCAACTGGGCTCATCACAAAAAGACAGTGGCCACAAAACCAGGTCAGAGGTGAGGATTACTGTAGCAAGTAACTCACCTCTAGACTCCCCAAAGCCTGTCCACCATCTACAAAGCACAAGTCAGGAGTGTGATGGAATACCGGTTAGAGACAAAAAAAAACTGCAGATGCTGGAATCCAAGGTAGAAAAACAGGAGGCTGGAAGAATACGGCAAGCCCAAGCAGCATCTGGAGGAAAAGAGAAGACAACGTATCGGGTATTACCTGTCTTCAGGACTCCTGAAGAGGTAATAGCCAATACGTTGACTTCTCCTTTCCTCCAGATGCTGCCTGGCTTGCTGTGTTCTTCCACCCTCCTGTTTGTCTACTGTGTAATGGAATACCCCCACTTGCCTGGATGGGTGTGGCTTCAGTAACACTCAAGAAGCTTAGCACCATCCAGGACAAAACAGCCCATTTGTTTGGTACAACATCCACAAGCACTCACTCCCTCCACCACCGATGCTCAGTAGCAGAAGTATGTTCTATGTACAAGATGCACTGCAGAAATTCACCAAAGGTCCTTAGCAGAACCTTCCAAACCCGCGACCACTTCCATCTAGAAGGACAAAGACAGCAGATACATGGGAACACCACCACCAGCAAGTTCCCCCAAGCCACTCACCATCCTTACTTGGAAGTATATCGTCGTTCCTTCACTGTCACTGGATCAAAATCCTGGAATTCCCTCCCTAACGGCTTAGTGGCTCAAGATGGCAGCTTACCACACCTTCTCAAGGACAACTAGGGATGGGCAGCTGGCAAAATGCTGGCCAGCCAGCAATGCCGGCCAGCCAGCAATGCCCATGTCCCATGAGTGAATAAAAAGAAAAAGCTCTAGAGCATGAGTAAGTGGCAAAGTCCCACAATGCAGCACTTCAGCCTACCTGCAGCGTGTTATTAGCATGGTGAGCTTCTTCCTGATTGATCAGTTCACCTCCAACATTACTTCCAGGGGGTCAAGCAGTCTGCTCCTCTGGAAATTCCAGCCCCAAATGAATTTTTAAGAACATGCTACATAGCTGTTTTTACCATTTTCTGCACTGTGACATTTTTAAAAGGAAAACAATTTTTTACAACATATCTTGATTTGTAAGATATCTCAACACACGCCACAGCAAATGAAACATTTCTTTAAAGTCTGGGCACTATTGTTACTTGGCAACTAAGTTCCCATACGTACTAATCAATGCTGACAGTTGAATGATAAATGTTGAGCAGAACACAGGAAGCACTCCCTTCTCTTTGAATAATGTTTTTTTTCTGGCCTACCTAAACAGTCAGTTTAACATTTCGTCTGAGAAGTAACACACCCATTAGTGCATCACACCCACAATACTGCTCTGGGATGTCAGCCCAGATTGTTTTCTCAGGTCAGGCAACGACGCTTGAATGAACAGCCCTCTGACTGAACCGAGAATAACCACGATATCACTGTGCCTAAACCTCTCTGGCAAAATAAAGATGCAAGTATTAGACAAAAATGCATAATATTTGTTGCATGCAGTGCTTTTAAATCCCTCCAGCTGAGAAGTGTGGAAACAAAAACAAAGTTAACCACATTGCAGACTTCCTTTAACTGGTGCATTTTGTTAACTCGGGCATTTTGCTTTGCTCCCACCATGGTGTATTAAAAATAAGTTTATTTATCCTAATAAAGCTACATTGCTCATCCCCAGTTTTGGTCTGTGACTCAATCTTGTCATTTCACAAACTGTTCCATTCTTCCTTTTAAGCTCACATTTATTTTAACTCTGAAGATGCAAATGCCAAGTTTGATTAAAGCCTCAAAGTATTATAGACTACAAAGCACAAATCAACTTCTAACAACATTCTGTCTCAAAATGGGATTCACTTGTTTTTAAATCTTAAAGAAAACAAAGTGAGATTTGTGTGCTGTCAGTTCTGGCCTTTTTTCAACTGGTTCAAGGACAGATCCACAGCTTTTCTGACACACTTTTACAACATTGTTTGGAGCTGGCCATAGCGTGTAAATGCTACATGCCACTGACACTGTTCAGGGAGGGAGTGAATGTTTGATGTATTAGATGAGCCAGGTGCCAGTCGAGGAGGCTGCTTTGTCTTAGATGGTGTTGAGTTTTTTGTGTTGGAGCTGCATTCATCCAGCAAATAGTGAATATTCCATCGTATTTCTGACTTTTGCATTGTGAATGATAGACAGGCTTTGGGAAATTAGAAGGTGAATAACTTGCTGCAGAATTCACAGTCTCTGACCTGCTCTTATAGCCTCAGTTCATGTATATATATCATATATCTCATACACACACACCCTTACATATGTGTGTAGCTGGTCCTATCCAATGATAACCCCCTAGATTGTTAATATTGGAGGATTCGAGGATGGTGTTAAACATCAAGGGGAGCTGGTTACATTCTATCTTGTTGGAGATTATCTTTCCCTGGCACTTTTGTGGCTCAAATATGAAATACCACAAATGTAATTATTATTAGTCCAACACCTGAATATTGTTTATGTTTTATAATCAATGCAATCATTAGCAAACTGATGCTGGCAATAGATGGGGAAGAGAGTCATCATCTTTTTGTGCAGTCTTAATTTGCTTGTAGTTAGCATTTAGCAGAAACATTGAGTTTAAATTCTAAAGTTCCCCAGCTTAAACAGGGTTTTAACAAGTTCTCCACTGGAAGAGCAGTCGGCCTTAGTTAATTATCAAAGCAGCTGAAATTGGTTCTTTTGTAACTGGGACAGATAGGTCCTTTCGTATTAGGGGCAACTAGTGTAAAATTAGTGTACTTGAGTACCATTTAGAATGCCAAGAATTAGATGATTTAGGGAATTAGTGTATGCAACTTACAGTGAGTGCTGGATTTTGGGTGATTAAGGAAGTTAGAGGGGGAAGAAACATTTGTGCTATTTTTTATAACCTTTTCAGCCTCCAGAAATTCTTTTATTCATTCACAGGATGAGGGCATCACTGGCTAGGAAAGAATTTATTGCCCATCCCTAATTGCCTAGAGGGGAGTTAAGATTCAACCACATTGCTGTAGGTCTGGAATTACATGTAGGCCAGACCAGGTAAGGATGGCAGTTTCCTTCCCTAAAGGACATTAGTGAACCAGCTGGGTTTTTCCTGACAAACAACAATGGAATCATGGTCATCGTAAGACTCTTAATTCCAGATGTTTATTGAATTCAAATTCCACTATGGTGGTATTTGAACCCAGCTATTCAGAAAGTTTTCTGGGTCTCTGGATTAACAGTCCAGCAATAATACCATTAGGCCATCATCTCATCTTAGCACTGCTGCCTCGCAGCACCAGGGACCAGGGTTCGATTCCACCCACAGGTGACTGTCTGTGTGGAGTTTGTACATTGTCCCCACGTCTGTGTGGATTTCTCCGGGTGCTTTGGTTTCCCCCACAGTCCAAAGATGCGCAGATCAGGTGGATTGGTCATGCTAAATTGCCCATAGCGTCCACGATGTGCAGGCTAGGTGGACTTGCTATGGGAAATTCTGTTCTGGGGCTAGGGTAGGGAGGTGGGTCTGGGTGGGATTCTCGTTGGAGGATTGGTGTGGACTCAATGGGCTATATGGCCTGATTCTATTCTGTAGGGTTTTTCTGATTCTATAATAACTAGCTTCTCCTGTAGAAGAGTGATTTGTAGTGTCATGTAAATGACTAAGATTTATTCATTAGGTTCACAACAGTACAGCAACAGGTTGTTAAGGTTAATAAAATATAAAAAGTGATTAATACATAATTGAATAAACTAATTAAGCTATTAGAACACATCAAGGATGGTAGGTCAAATAATCTGCCACAGCTGCAGCATGTGGTAGCTCCTGGCTGTTGGTTTGATCAAAGGCATACAAATCTATAATAATTCACGCAGGCTCAGCTCAGTGTTTGTAAGCTGGAGACAAAACTATTGAAACTGCAAGTCATCAGGGGAAACGTTATCTTTGTACCAGGAGGTAGTCACAACTCTTATGATAGTCTTCTGATTTAGTCAATTGTTAATGCACAGAAGAATGGCAGTATTTCCCATAGATGCTGCCAGAGCTGCTGAGTTTCACCAGGAATTTTGGTTTTTATTTCAGATCTCCAGCATCTGCAGTTCTTTGTTTTATTTTGGTGTTTAATTCACTGCCACATTGCTTCCAGTGTGCCCACCTTAAAGAAGTTCTGCTCCTCTCACCAGCAGGATTTCCAATCTAATCTTTCTTCCTGTTTTCCATCATTACTTTTCTCATTGTATTTGACAAAGTCTTTCGAAAACCCACTTCCACGTCTGAGCCTCTGGCTCAGAATCACTCCACATGGATTCCAACTGAAATTTCATCCTTCGTATTTTGAATCCACCCAGGATCACGGGTGTCTCTGTGATGTACCATGCTCCTCAGACAGCAGTTCTTGCCGCATTCTGAGATCCACTCTGCTGCCATATGCATACTCTCAATCTCTGTCTCCATCAGCACCGTACATGTCCTGTCTCCATACCCCACTTTTACTTCATTCTCCAGCCCATTCGACATTAAAACAAGAAACTTATTCCTTTCAGGCATTAAGGAACGCAAAATGCAACAACTCAGAGATAATCACGGCCTATTGGAACCTTCCTCCCCTCTCTTTCCCCTGATTCCATCCCCTCTCCAAACCCCACCTCCTGTCAGGTATTTTCTATCCCTTCTGCTCCCTGAACGTTCTGTACTCAGTAAAGATCTTAGTTTTATCCCTCTGCACTCTCATCTCAATGCATTTTGGGATGGCATGACGTTGAACTCTTAGAGTCATAGATTATAGAGATGTACAGCATGGAAATGGACCCTTCGTCCATGTCGACCAGGTACCCTAAATTAAGTAGTCCTATTTGGCTGCTTTTGGCACATATCCCTCTAATTCCTTCCTATTCATGTACCCATCCAGATGCCTTCTAAATGTGGTAATTATACCAGCCTCCACCACTTTCTCTGGTAGCTTATTGCACCACCCTCTGAGTGAAAAAGTTGCTCCTTAGGTCCCTTTTAAATCTTTCCCCTCTCACCTTAAACTTATGCCCTGTAGTTTTGGACTCCCTCACACCCTGGGGCAAATACCTTGTCTTTTCACCCTATCCATGCCCCTCATGATTTTATAAACCTTTATAACATCATCCCTCAGCGTCTGACGTTCTAGAGTAAACAGTCCCAGCCTATTCAGCCTCTCCCTATAGCTCGAGCCCTCCAACATGCTTGTAAATCTTTTCTGAACCCATTCAAGTTTCACAACATCCTTCCTATAGTAGAGTGATCAGAATTGCACACAGTATTCCAAAAGTGTCCTAACCAATGTCCTGTACAGCCGCAACATGACCTCCCAACTCCTATACTCAATGCGCTGACTGATAAAGGAAAGCATACCAAATGCCATCTTCACTATCCTATCAACCTGCAACTCCACTTTCAAGGAACTATGAACCTGCACTCTGGGGTCTCTTTGTTCAGCAACTCTCCTCAGGACCTTACCGTTAAGTGTATAAGTCCTGCCCTGATTTCCCTTTCCAAACTGCAGCGCCTCACGTTTATCTAAATTAAATTCCATCTGCCACTCCTCGGCCCATTGGCCCATCTGGTCAAGGTCCCATTGTACTCTAACGTAACCTTCTTCACTGTCCACTACACCTCCAGTTTTGGTGTCATGTGCAAACTTCCCAACCATACCTCCTACGTTCACATCCAAATCATTTATAAAAATGAGGAAAAGCAATGGACCCAACACCAATCCTTGTGGTACACTACCAGTCACAGGCCTCCAGTCTGAAAAACAACCTTCCACCACCACCCTCTTTCTTCTACCTTTGAGCCAGTTCCGTATCCAATAGCTAGTTCTTCCATTGCCTCCCACTATGTGCCATTTCTTTGGACAGGAGTCCTCTTCCCACCCGACAGATGCTGTCACCTGCCTCCAACACTGTCCCTCCACCTGGACCACTCTGGTTGTTTACCTGCACTTGACTTGTTCATTGTGAACTGCCAACGTGACACCCAGTACCTTAATACCCCCCTTGGCCCCCATTCGAGCCTATCTCCATCTGAACTGCCTGCTTTCCATGCTGTCAGATCCAGGCCTGACTTTGTAATTAAGACAGTCAACAAGGTTGGTG